AGGGATTGAACAGGCGATCGATGAAATCAAACTTCAAAACTCATCAGGAGAGGTTGCGGCCGGCGCTGTTAGAGAAGCCTTCTGTGGAGCCCAAGAAAGAATGCGTTCTGAGGGGTATTTGAAAGAAAATTCAGAGCCCAACGTGGCTGCTGACGTGGCGGCGGACGCAGAAGATGAGGCGCACAACTTGGGGACGACTCCCAAAACTTGAAGGACAGAGTTGCCAAAGTACGGGGCCACCTGCGAAGGGCGCATGAATCTAATTTCTCGGTTCGTATAAGGTTCACGTGCAAGAGAGGAGAAGCTCGGAGTTCAGAGTGTTTTCCAACCTCCGAGCTTTAGTGGAAGAGTTCAAGGCCTCCGTGAAAGACTCTATGACAAAAGCACAGGAACCAAAAGCGAAAGGCGGGTTGAATCACGTTCGTATGCTTCACTTCGGCATGATTGCCCAAAAATCAAGTCAAAAGCAATCTGAAACCTCTGCAGTGAATTGGTCGACTCGACATGGAACTCACTTCTTGGGGTTCCGGAACTAGCTTACCTGCAAAGCTGGCTCATCGGCACCAAGATGTTCGCTGACGCCAGAAGCGGGATCAAAAAACAGAAAAGCCATTTTGACAATCTGGAGGACGCACTCCCCGCGCACCGGAGCTTGACGTCGAACGGCTCCAGAATCGATATCAACATTCGCAAAGACGGCCGCCCCCGCCCCCCATGGATTCAGGTTGTCGATCTTGTCCTTGAACGCGCGTGAGCGTGGCCACGAGCGCGACCTTGAAGAACGTGATGGGCGCTGGCGCCATGACAAGAGTCCTGCTTAAAAGAGAAGAACTTTGATCACAAGAGGGCAATCAAGATTCGTCCGTTCGTTCAAAGATTGATTCTGGGCTCCCGCGTTTTGGCAATTACTCATCATGCGAACTCGGCTTCGAGCAAGACCTTATCCTAACGTTCTATAGAGCATTGAAATTGGCCAGATCAAGCCTCGTTGTGAGCAAACTTCAATGGCCACTCGGCAGCTATATATCATTCATGCTTCGAAGCATGGGTGAAGAATCTCGCCTAAGCAGATCCAAACATGGCAGAAAGCGAGAGGAACACATAGAAGAACTAGAGCAGAGAACGGCAAGTAAAAGGAAAAGCCTTTCGGGCCGCAGAGATAGACAGCAGTTCGTCAGATTCAACAAGCAAAAGGCGAACCGCCTCAAGGCGCGGCTGCTTCAGAAAACAGGTTCGCCAGGTAGTTTTGCGGTTGCGTGCATCTTAAAGTTGGATAACGGCACCAAAAGCAGGGTAAGTATTCTAGACTCACAAGAGACTCGAAGCTTTGATGTTGAACCCCGACACCTTTGGGCAGGACTGATTGAATGAGCTCCAAAACTGATAATGTCAGATGAGATGAGAGAGTGCACAACAAGAGAAATTCCACCCAACATCATGAGACTAGACAACAAAGAAAACTCTTTGCAGGCGCGAAGGGTTTTCAGCAGAGAACCCTCGACCCTCTTAAGACTAGGCTCGACAGGGGTCAAGCCTTCTAAGCCCCGAACCTTGAAGGAACAAGCACAGATCCACCGATCCTCTAGAGATTTTCGACCACAATTTCCCGAGTTGGCCTACTTTGATCTTCTTCAATCGCGAGCTCCGGAGCTCATGGTGGAAAAACAGCAGATTCACAAAGCAGAAACACAACATCGTAACAAAAAGCCTCACCTCATTTTTGTTTCTCGTTGTGTGGAGGGTTCTGCTGCCTGCCCCTGTCATTGCCACGGGCTTGGTCTCCAGCCATGATGCACACTGTCAGGGTCCTTCCATCAGAGTGGGCCCGTCCAGGGATACGCTGTGCACGCAAAGCGCCCAGGGTTGGCCTGAGTAATTCCAGCCACCCAGATAGGCCTGCACAATATTACACCTGATTAGGGTAGAAAAGGTTGAAAGCATTGCCCCCAGGCTATACTGTGTGGCACGATCACTATGGCAGGAGCATCATAATCCTTCGACGATTTCAGGCTGATGCCACAAGAAGGTTGGGAAAATCGAAATTATGATTTGCCAAATGACCGAAGACAGTCAACTCAAATGAAGCGTCAGCAAAGAGCACCAGAACACTTGGGATAGCGGGGTAATTCGAAAAAGGTTGAAGCCGGACAACCGACGTGTATACGTTACACATCACGTTATAAAGCCCGGGCCCGGGCTTAATTGATCAGTACGTGGGTACTTCGAATTCAGGGCCGTGTGTATCCAACAAGCTCTCCAATCTACTTGCATGCAAGATCTTTTCCAAAATTAGATACGCTTTCTACGCTTTAGTACTCGAGCGAGAGACGTAGGGAGGACGCGTACGTAGCTGTAGTATTCTACTATTGTACACAACTGGACAGACTAGAAGGAGTCTACACTCGGTCCAGGCTTTAACAACCCTCGGCCCTAGTTTATAGCAACCCTGAAAGGACAGCTCTACACACCAATATATGATCCAACCTACACTGATTTACTTCAGACCAGACTACCTTGTTGCCTTGTCTATGTAGGACGGACCGTGTCTTGATTCCTCGAACAGCGTCCCTTGCCACAGCGGTACGTACAATTGTACTCAGTGTACGGTGAGTTCGGCCAGTACCACGGTACGTACACGCTACTACCCGGAGCAAACAATCGTAAATAGAAGGGAGTGTGAACT